CTGGCTGGGGAATTCTGGGAGTTGAAGTCCACACATCTTAAAGTTGCCAAGGTTAAGGAACACTGATTCAGGGATTCAAAGGAACAATTATTTTAGAATTTATCTATCTATCCATCCATCTATCTATCTATCATCTATCACATTTATATAGCCGCCCATCTCACATAGCTATGTGATTTACTGAATCCTTCTAGTATGCGAGTCTTACTACTGTATGTCTCTAACGCAATCCTACTTTTTATTCAAAAAAAAAGAGAGCAACCATTATTTAATCCAAAGCAGTCCGCGTACGTCCATCTGGTTTAACGATTGCAAACCTCAACCCGCTTGGAATTAAGGGTTGCCATAATTAGTAGCTTTGCTCCTGAACTCCCGCCAGGAAGTAAAGCCATAGGTTTAATTACATGAAGGTACAATTATATCAAAGTATTGACATTTTATTGGGTGAAGGTGTGGGTTTAGTTAGGTGTAGACTTAACTGACTTTAATTAGGTGAAGCTATATGTGTAATGATGAATGAAAAGGCCAAAATGTACGTCAGAAAGCATGAACTGGGGTCCTCTGGGTGAGTGTGCATGTGTAAAAAACTGCAGTACTCAGTTCCCAATGAAAGCAATTCCCCTTGAAACTGATGCAGGTTCAAAGAAAAATTCATTTATTGAGAAGTAGAAGCCCTAAAGCATTGCTGGAGCTGAGTCCCTCGCGCGCCAAAGCCTGATTTTACCCCCATCCCATTTGACCTCCCCCCTTCTGTCTCTGAATCTTTCCTGCACATGTCAATGGTCCTCTCCTGGTCTCACACTGGGATGGCCTTGGGCATTCCTGAGAAACAGATAACAGTCCATCTGCGGCTAATGGTTCACCTTCGAACCTTCCCCCCTTCCTCCTTTCTCTGTAATGGCAGAAATGAAGAAGCAAGCTAGCAAGAGAGTTGATTGATTGCAGGGATTCTGACAGGAGTTTTATGGAGGTAGGAATCCGTGGTTGGTGCCATTTCTAAGCTAGGAGATAAATATCTTGACACAGTTTGGTCCTTCAAAGAAAGAGAATGAACGAGGACTGAATTGCAAAAGAAATATATGGAAGAAGAGTGAATGGGTCGAGAGGAAGGGGAAGGATGAGAAAGCTATATCGTCTGGAAAAAGGAAGAGGAGAGAGATTTAAAGAGCCAAAGGCAGCGTGTGAATCAGCACACGCTGTATGGGTGGTGGAAGCAAGACGGGCTTGGAAAGATGGAAAGACATGGAGAGGTCTAGGAGTGCAGTTCGTGTGGACTAGTTTTAGTGGTGTTTCTTTTCCTTTTTCTAATCTCCCTCCGGCCACTCCTGAAGAAACTGTTCAGCACAGATGTAGTTAAATTCAAGGCCTTGTGAACATAAGCAGATAGCCATTTTCACAGGCAAAGGTGGAGAAGCCACAAATTGCAGAACAAATCTGGAATTGGGTGAGACCAAGAATCTTGGTCAAAGCAAGGGCAGGACTTCTTGGCACAACCAAGACAAGGTTAGTTTACAACATTAGCCAGCTGGTAAGCAACTCCTATATACACTGGCCTTTAAGGCAATGTTTCTCAACCCTGGCAACTTTAAGATGCGCGGACTTCAACTCCCAGAATTCCCCAGGCACCATGGGGAATTGTGGGAGTTGACGTCCACACATCTTAAAGTAGATGTAGATTTTGTATGGACAAATGTAATGAAATATGGGACTCATTTATGCGAAAATACAATAGGTTAAAAAAAAACATGATAGTCATATAAATGTATTAGAAATATATACGTACTTGGATAATATTTGCATTAGATAAGTATCCATAGAATTGTAATTGTTCGCTATTATAATGACATATTAACATTTTTTTTCTTTGTTGTATTTCACTTTTTTGTTAAAGCATTTTCTATGTGGTTTTTTTCTTCTCAATAATGATAAGTAAATAGATGATAGATAGATAGATAGATAGATAGATAGATAGATAGATAGATAGATAGATA